TTTAAGCACAGGAGGCTGCACAGGGAGAACCTCAAGGAGAAGAAGTGGGAACTTTTGTCAGCAGCCCAACATGACACTGAGTCAGATATTAGCAAGTCTCTGTGACCTGATCAAGTCTGAAGTCCACTTTTGGGCTCTCCAGTACCAGACAGACATTGCCACACTGGAGTGAGTTCAGCACAGAGCTACCAAGATGATCAGGTGGACAGAACACATGATGCATTGGGACAGGCTAAAGAGAGAACTGGGTTTGTTCAGCCTCCAGAAAGCTTGGCAGCATCTTCCTGCTGTCTAAAACTCTATCAAGAAGGTGTAGATAAGATGAAGCCAAACTCTTCTGAGGGTCAGGTTACTGACCCTGGATTGATAAGGTGCAACAGATACAAGTTGTAACATGCAGAGGGTGGTCAAGCAATAGATCATGTTGTCTTTAAAATCTACATATTTGGAAGCATTCAAACCTTGGCTGTAGCCCCCCTGTGTGTCATGCTCTTGTGGAAGAGCTTGGAGCAGGGAGCTGGACTAGATGATCTCTACAAGTCCCTTCTAACCTGCATGAGGCTGCAAGTTTATCAAGCGCATCAACCCTTTACAAATAATTACACCAAAATGATTCCTACAGCATGTTTGCTTTTGAAAAAAAGAACTAGAATTTGAATATCAAAACTCCAAGAGCTGCAACTGGCACTTTTCAGTTTTTTAGGTCAGAACATAACCACATCCAGGGAAAATACACCCAAGAGAAGTGGCTGAAGAAACAGCTTTGAGACACCATTACTCGGCCAAGACATTTCAAATGGCACAGGCTGATCCACAAACCACTGCCTTTCATAGCTGGTCAAGACCACCTTCCCTCCTGGAGTGATCAGGACTGCTGGATCTGCCCCTGGCTCAGTTCTGAAGACAGCAGAACATGGGCAAACCCATCCATTTGGACAGACCCTGCCAGCTACCAGGAGCCAGATGGAAAGACTGTGGTTCCTGAACTAACAGGATCCACTTGAGAAGCCTGGAAGAATGGAAGCTTGAGAAGAATCCACTTGAGAAGAATGGAAGTTGGCTGACAGAACCCTAAAGCATACTACTGACTCTTGTCCCTGCACAGAGCAAGCTGCCTCTCAACAACAGAAGCCTTGCAGCTCCAAGACAGCAAGCCAGGAACCCAGGCATGCTAGTCACAAAAAGCCCTATCTCAGCTACCTAAAAAGCAGCACGAGTTGTGAGCCAAGTAATAAACTCACAACCTGATTCAGGAATCACAGAATTACCTTGGCTGGAAAAGACCTTCAAGATCACTGAGTACATCCCTCAGTGCTACGTCTGTAAGACCTCCAGGGATGGTGACTCCACCACTGCCCAGGGCAGCCTGTGCCAGGGCCTGACAGCCCTTTCAGGGAAGAAATTCTTCCTCACATCCAACCTAAACCTCCCCTGGTGCAACTTGAGGCCATCACCTCTTGTCCCATCACTTGTAACTTCATTGAACAGCCTGATCCCCACCTCTTTACAACCTCCTCTCAGGCAGTTGCAGAGAGAGGTAAGATCTCCCCTCAGCCTCCTTTTCTCCAGGCTGAGCACCCCCAATCCTGTTTCCCCACTGCCCTCCTCCCATAGAGCAATCATTCAGCTGAAACTAAACCAACAAACCGTGTTTTCCTTCAATGCTAAAGCAAGATGATTGAGGCAGCCATCAAATTTCTTTTAGGCATAGGGAAAAAAAAAAGGTACCATTCTGGTAAGCAAGAGCAACCTACATTTCATGTACTGGTATCAGTAATGCTGCATCTTTTCATCTTCTTTCACAGGTTGTTTCATGGGGAATTAGCACAAAAGCACAAACCTGCTCCTGACAGAATCAAAGTCAGATTCTTTGTTTATTGGGACCATTCCTGCAGGCCAAACTGTGCTGCCTTCAGCCTGTGAGAGGCTGCTTTGACTTCAGTGTAAAAACCTTCTTCCTGTTTTCACTACAGAGAAGAGGTGAACTTGGAACTAGAGGTAATGGCTGCATGTAAAGTCATGGCACCTAACTCCACCCAGAACTACCCCAAGAGAAAGACACAACACGCAGTGAAACGAGAGAAACTACAGGCACAAACTGGGAGCTAAAGGATGAGAAACACAGCGGTGTTGCCTCAGGGTGTTCCCACCAGGAGCCGGGCTCTGACTCAGGCAGGGTGCTCAGCACATGACTAGAGAAGCAATTACCACTCCGACCTCCAATCCACTCTGCCCA